TATATATATGTATATCTATATTCAAGAAATTAATCAAACAGCAATAAGATAATTTAAGAGCAAATTGAAAAGATACCAGGTCTCTGCAACGACAATCTATTGATTTGACTATCTTACAGCCACCATTCCTACTAAAAACAGTGTATTGATAAGGTCTTGCATTCGATTAACCGTTTTCATTTTTAACAATCTAAGAAAATAAATACAATAAATACGGAGTCTTAATATACATTTTCATTCTGATTGGGGATTTTAAATATTATTAAAAGGTATGCAAATCCCTGGATCCGAGTATACCTTAACATTCGTACGGTAAAACTAAAAAGAAAGAAGTTCACGCACAATAACGGAGGGTAGATTGATTCTTTGTATTAGTAAAAGGTCTTTCAGCTGCAATATGACTAGATTCTATTCCTAATATTGGATCACTATACGATAGTTCTATGTACAAGAATTTATCATAATGTCTAAGAAGTATCATTTGAACAAAAACGATGACAATAAGGCAAAATGGTTCGGTAATAAATACATTGCACTTGTAACTAACTAAATACAACAATAATACTACATAAATGATTCTTATGACATATATATCGTGATGTAATGATGTTCACAGAAATTCACAATGACGTCCGTCGAAAGGAAAGTAGCTTCATTTAAACAGCGATATTTGTTTTATATCGACAGTCTTTAATTAGTTAGAAACGTGCTGACTTACATCAAGACTCCGATAGATAGTTGTTACAATTGGCGGCTTCCAGAAGCATGTAACCTTGACCCTGACGGTTAGATAACTCGTTTTCTCTCTTTTCAATCAATATACATATTTTTATCAGTTAATCATCCAAACTAGATCTAGTCAGTCTTGATCAGATGTAATCAGTTTTGGCCAAAAATTAAGAAGAAAGATAAGTAAGCATGTTTCGCACTAACCTAAGTTTATATCGATACAATTTTAACTATGTCAGAATAAATTGGAAAGCCAAATGAATCCTTTGATGTTTTAATAACTACATTTTAGAAATGATAATTGTACAGATAAATTGTAACAAAGAAAGCGAACTTAATCCTTCAATGTTACATTTCAGAAACTTATTTACATACATAATAAAATCAAAATACAAGTTAAACATTAAATGATTCTTGATAGAAAATATAAAACTGTTAGGTAAATATGTCAATATCGCTATAGTTAGTTATGAACATGGAGGGGATCATGACGATAAACAAACTACAATTCGCATCTGCTGGTAACTCAACAGTATTCTACGAACAAATATTGTAAGGCGGTTTCTAAACTTTTATATATACCGAGGACACTGATAGCATCCTTTTGTACCTTTCTATTTTCGTCAGCTCATAGCTGAGCGCTTTAATAGGTCACTATCGTACAGACTTTAATATTTGGAATTGCAAAACATCTGACCTGAATTTGCGATGTTGCAGATCGATGCTACCACTATTCCCGCTACATACACAAAATTTTAAAAAACCTATTTAATATCTCTAAAGAGTATGATATTCCATTTTCCATATAATGAAAATCCCTTTAAGGGATCCCCAAAACCTAAACTGGATTCCTAGGAAATCTTTCCTCTCAATAAAAGTACCATAGCAGCAAACACAATGCATGTAGACGTGGAACTAACAATCGAACGCGGATCATCTTCACAATGATGTCAAGGTATCAAACAGAGTTCTTAATGCCTTGAGATTGTGAAGATGGACATAGACATGTGTGCGACTTTCGAGATGTAGATCTAACTCATCCGAAATATGCCACTTTCCAGATCTTAGCACTAATTTAGTTCAAAGTCACCCCCATTTTTGGTTTAAGAGAAATGTATATGTACATGGCATAATGTAGAAAGTTATAAATATTATGAACGATCAATATACAAAATGAATATTTACATACTTCGTCAATATTTTGTTAACCATTGTTCATAAAATCAAGAAGCTGTTAAAACGACATGGTCAGGTATATCAGATACATTTTTAAATAAGGTTGAGCTTGCGTTTTGGTATCAGTAATGTCTTTTATTACAACACTACACGGACTCACAACGATTGGAGTTATAATGCTACCAAACGGCTTGAAGGTCCGTCGTAAGAAAGTCGAATTCAGCTCTACCCTACCCCGTTATTATGTTGATGGATTTCTCTTTTATTGCCAGCCACAAGCAATAAAACGGAACATTTTTTCTGAAATGCCGATAATCAGAGAAAAACGTCGTTTAAAACGTTTTTGTTTTTAGTGTTACGAAGGGTCCAAAGATATGACAATAGACTCTGTCATTGAGGCAACCAGCTTGGCCATTATCTCAGCAGTTCTTTTATTTCTCCAAATGGAGGTCCATTTAAGGATGAACTAAACGATTAGAAAGAGGTGGTGAATTATTTACAAGGATTGAATATGGCGAATGGATTCGAGGAATACGGGTTATAGGAAGATTAAGTGGGTGAAAACAATATCAAAACCTACAAAAGATTTTTCATATAAGAGTGGATTTCTACTTGCAGAGGCAAGCTCACTTTAAGTATGCGTAATGTGTCTTTGCACTTCTAATTCCAGAAAACACGTTTGTTTTAAATCAAGAACACATAACTGTCGTCTTCTATCACACACGTAAAAACGTTTTATGAAACGTGTGTAACATGTCATAAAACACATTACCTCGTGTATATCAGCACAACCCGTTTTAACGCCCAGCGTTGGCCATCGCAATATACCATCTCCGTAGTTATTGAAATTATCGATTTATACAACACAGAAGTTCAAACCCGTTTGATTATCCTTGTCCTTAAAAGCACCCTTAGCACTCACATAAAACTCTTTAACCTTTATCTGAGTTTTGCGTTTCCAATGTTTACAGTACGTATTGTTTAATAGAAAGGGATAAGAGATGATTGCCTTTGGAATGTTACATGTTTTTAAATACACAAGTATAAACATTCTACACTAGCGATTCAACTAGTAATAAATATACCCCGCAATAAAGTTGTTAAAAGCACAATATTGAAAATGTTTAATAAGGAACCGGAGAGGTTGGAAGTTCCTGATAGTCCTCGTCTGGAATTCACATACGAGGTGGCATCAGTTGCGTCATGGTCGGTTCCTGAAAGTAAAAGAATGGATTAGATACATAAGCTCAATTTCAATGTGTTTGAAAGTTTGAAAATTTCGAATCAAACCCACAGGTTTGCAAGACAGGTAGATTCTAGATAATATCAGCTCATGTCAATTAAACAACCGAGATGAAAACTGAAATCATTCTATAGCCTACACTAGGCCTTGATCCATATTTTAGGTCAAAGACGAAAAACTCCGAACAAATAGTATAAATTGAAATTGACACAAAGCACAATACAGATAGTAATATGTGTGTCCATGTGTGATACAGCAGTTCATCCCCACTGTTTGGAACACATGAAACATTTTTTAAATAATCGCTTGAGGTACATGTATGCAAGTAAAAGAGTTCCGATAACAATACAAACCATGTCAAACAATCTTACATTGACAGATACACAAGCCGCCTGGCTTTGACAGTATACAATTTCCATAATAATAGAAAAACATGTATCAGAATAATTGATTATATAATATATCTATACATTTTAATCACGAACTTTTCAAGAAAACATCGATACATGAAACATAATAACCTTTTAGTCTACCGCAATAATTTATTTACCGAATTCATCAAAATGTCCAACAAACACGTCTTATATTTCTTTTTAGAATCAATTTCATCATAAATTCATACGCCTGGGGATTCAAATTCGCCTTCAGACAAACTCGGTCGCAGAGGTAACATATTACATAGTTCTATATAATATACTCGGATTTCTCAACCACGCACGCTTTCTCATTCTATGTATCAATGAGCTTCTTGGGGGTGTTATTTAAGGTGATTCACTTCAGACGATATCTTATATTTTTCAAAACAAGAGTTAGATATACGACGACAACCCATGCCCCAGCTAAATATACCTGTTGCCAGTTACTTCCGTAGTCTGATTGTTTATGTCGATAGTACCTATGATTTGAGATATCTTTTCAATAACTAAAATCAAGCAGGTTTTCAATTATTTTACCTCCTTTAGTTGAAATTAAGCAGAGAGCCATAAAATATGCAAAGAGGAAAATTTGGCCAGCACAACTGCAATTGAGCACATTGATGTGACAAGAGTCTTACAATTTGGATTATGACACATCATTGATACACCATTGATGACTGTTATCATAAAGGAATTGTCAAGAGGATTTCTTTATTTTTTATGTGTGTCGGGGACATTAATAACAGCAATTTGCACCATTCCAATTTTCAATCAGGCGTCTGAGGTTTCTGCAAATCCTCTAAAACTAAGTGTTTTATGACGTCACTAATCACAAAGAGCCTATGTGATAAAGCATATTTTGGGATTAGTGACGTCACCAAACATTTAGTTTTAGAGGAATTGCAGGAACCACAGACGTCTGATTGAAAATTGGAATGGTGCAAATTGATGCTATCAGTGTTCACGAACTCATAACGTTTAGAGAAAACCCTGAAGCACATTATTTACAGTATTGAAGTTGACGAATAGACTTACCCCTTTTCACGTTATACGTATCAGCTGAAAAACATAAAATAATAAAAATATTAAGTTGGACCATATCAATATTACATATGATTCAATTCGTATTTATACATTTGAAATTTTCAGCAATGTCAGCTCTATGGCAATGTCAAACCAAGTAACGACATAATATCCATTTGAGATATGCTATTTCAGGGTCGATAACTTGCTTTACAGAATTAAATGTCTACCCAACACAACGTATTCATGCAATGCACAGAGGATTACAATTGCAGAAAATGGTTTTCCTAATATAATAGTCAATTGTTGAAAATCATATGAAAAAGAAAAGTTTCCGCAGATGGTCTGAATTCCTATGGCCGTAAGTACTCCATACACTACCATCACCTACCGTTCCTCACCACCCTATCCTGCTATAACAGTATATACATATAGTTCGGGTGAAGGATCAAAGCTCCATACTTACTGTTTAAAACATTAATTCTTGTACTGGTAACTTGTAAATCTGATGTTCTACAAACATAAGAACCGGCATCTAATAATTTAGCATCTCTAATTTCTAAACGACTAAAAATTGTCTTTAAGCCTAAGTTAACTTTCTTTCGTATGTAGATTTTCTGAGCGAAGTTAGTTGAGAGTTTGTCGCCGTTTCGGAACCAATCTAGGTCATCTGGTGGATGTTCTCGACCTGTTGCGTTGCATGTAAGTATGATTCGTTCACCACGGTTTACAAATCGTGCTCCGGATATCTGAATATCTGAAAAATAGAGAGGATATCTGAATGTGGTGCATTAATCTATACATTGACTTACATTGTATACAATGATCATGCTCTATGCTACCTATTACTACCCTTTACAATGCTTAAATCAGTGGTTCCCAACCTTTTGTACCCTGGAGTATTCATTTGAACAACCCCAAAACAATGGACATTCAAAACATTGTAAATCTTATAATTTCTATTCAAACTAATCATAATAGATATATCATCATGCGGCCGCAAAAAGATGCCCAGTTGGAAGGCTGTTTCTCTAACAAAATTCTAAAATTCGTCACTAATTTGAACCTTAATATGAATATAATGACAAAATGTCAAAACTAAAATATGTATATTTTTTTATGGAGAAACGTGACTTTGAATCCATATTCATTGCACGTGACCATACGCAATGTACCATCGCATCTCATTTTGTTTCAGCCTTATCAGGCATTATCAAATGGTTCGAAAGGCAATATCTATTACGGGATGACCCATAGGAGGGTACTACTTCTACAGAGGACTGTGTATTGGGATACAATGTACATTTATTCATTTAGTTTCTAATCTAACATGCCATGGAACTTATCATTAACATTATCTAATCATCACAATGTCAAGCTATTAAGAATTACGTACTTATACCTTGACTGTAATAGCCACTATTCTTGTATCAATGAAGCGTCTTGATTGGATTTTACATCAGTCAGTCAATCGGAGCCCTCGACAGAAAAGCTATAAACATTATGACCTTGTGTTAATATATTTTGTATCGAGGCCTCTGATTGCTTGTATTCGCGAGCGTATAATCCAATCAATTCGCGTCATTTACAAACTTCCAAGATACAAGAAAGTGCGTAGTCCATTCAAGTTCATAATAGCTCGCTATTATGAAGATGTTGTTATGTAAGCAACACCGGATTTAGCCATATTCCACACACAATTCAAAGACAAGAGCGCAATTCCATTCTGCTACAAAACACTAACGGAACTCATCATTAATATTATGTAAGCAACACCAGATCTAGCCACATTCCACATACAATTCATACTACAGAGCACACACTCCATTCTGACTGTTACAAGAGACGAAACACAAACCATGATTCCCCAATAGATTTTTTTAGTCAACATTCCACTGTGCTAATACCAAGCTAGCACGAACTGCGTTTCATACCTTGAATGCAATAGCTACCTTCCTTTTTTTAAGTTTGTAAATGCAGCGATTTGATTGGATTGTACGCCAGTGAATACGACCAATCAGCGATCTCGACGAAAGGAACGTAAACACTTAGCCATAATGTTTACAGTCTCTCTGTCCAGGAAGCTAATTGAATTTATTTGCTAGCGTACAATACAAGATACAAGAAAGATGACTATTGCAATCAAGGTGTAAGACGGATTTCGTAATAGTTTGACATTGTGAAGATGTCATTCCATAAGCACAAAATTATTAATTTACAGGATGCCCTACAAGATATCAGAAAGCGACTTTTTATTCGATTTTTCCACGATATATGTCTATTTATTAGGTATAGAAAGGTAAGGTCTGATCAAAGTCAAGGCGATGTTTGCAAGGCCAGACAAGGCTACTGAAATATATATTTTTCTCGTGATCAAAATGAATTTATCTTCACCTGAATAATTATGTAACGTCCAGAAAATGGATTTTTTCAAGCAAAAATTATTATCCAATGAAAGACACAAAAGTACCACTTAAGCCGCGAGTCAAATAGAATACGTTGTGGGTCCAATACATATCATGGATGAATCCATGTATACCAAACTCAGGTTTCTTTAGAAAGAATATTAGATGATAGTGATCTGGTCTACTACAGTATCTATTGACAATATGGGTAGGACTACAACTCGAATTGTAGTGTTGATCTTCAAAGCTTAGATTTAGATGTGTAAAAATGAGAATCTCCCCAGTGAGTCTGGTTTGCGAGAGATATCATCGCTTCGTTGGTGTGAAAAATGAATGCAATCGTTTTGAGTCCGTCAAATAATTTACTTAAGGTTATAAAGGTTGCTTTCTAGTTTATGTTGCAGAAAACTATCCTCTTTTTTATTTTCCCCACAAGCAAAGCCATGATATGAGAAAGTCAGTAAGGATGGCGTTTGAGTTAGGGAGCTGAACTCAGTCAATATTAGGCCAGATAACGAGTCATCTTCTATGCTCTGATTTTCTACTGTGTGAATTCTGGATTTAACACAGATTTGATCTCGAACAGAGTTCAGAATCCCTTAATGCCGATATGGATTGTTGGTCGTTTTTGTGAGAAATATTGAATATATTTTAATGATTCACCAACAACCTGACTAAGATGTGGAAAATGAATCTAATCAAAAACGAACGAACAGTAGAATGTTGATGATTTCTGTGCATGTTTTTTTAACACCTATTTTTCTAACCTTGTCGTCGTGTGAGGTCGGGTGAATATTTTTAAAATTCATTAAACGAGTTAAATTTTCAACATGGTTACACCTTGATATGAAGTCAAATACCTCTTGGCATATCATGTTAAAAAACTTGCAACCGTGTTCACTAATACGCTAGGTATATTGGGTGCACAAGATTTAGTGAGATGAAAATGAAATGGGAATTTTACACTTGTCTCAATTAATATAGACGACCCAGGTCGTATAAAGTTGGCTTTCTTACATCTAAGAAACAGGAAAAGATACAGACGATTCAAAGCAATAAATGGAAGAAATGAGAGGTTTACGTCTATCTTTTCTGCATGTGATTAGACTTAAAGGTATAGCTTGGGTGACCTAAACAAAGTGTATTAATCTCGTTTATCAACATATATTTTTTTATATATAATTGTAGATTTATCAAACGTCGAATTTGACTTCTGAACAGTACGGGTCGGGTAGGTTACATTAAGCTCTATCACTTGACTAGATCCCTTAGCATCCCTACCCCATAAAATCTAGCCGACAAAACAACGAGGCAAACACGCTGAAAGACAAAACATTTGAATTGACCAAAGCCTTGCAAATCCGTAGACACCAAGCCCTTGATGGATAAACAGGTGCTCTAGCCAATAATTTCCATTCCAATTCAATACTTGAGCCTATAATTCCATGCAAAAATAATTTGTACAAATTGGTGCAAGTTACAACTGCAAAAGATGGAACATTAACAAAATGTAAAATGTTCAAAATGCAAGAAAAATGTAAAATAAAATCATTCCACCACGAAGAAAGGATTGAATATAAAATATTACCATATTTCTCGCCAGTGGAAGAAGATTCCAAGGTGGCTGAATTAAAATAGAAGAAGAATGTTGAAGAATAAGAAAGCAAAGCAAAATTTGACATGTTGTATTTAAATTGTATTCAAATTTGCCTCATATTATCTAAATACTACGGAGTATAGTTCCCATAGGTAGTGTATAAAAACTCAGTTAGAAAAACTTCCAATTTCTTTTGTACATGATGTTTAGATATTTGTTAATTTACCAAGGCTAGTATAGTTCTCATGCACAAATCATTCAAAAATGTGCTTTAATCATAAAACGCACGTGTATTTTTGTGCACGTTTTAGGTCACGTTATTCAAATTAACACGAATGCAACTAAATCATTGCGAGCATAATAATATTTAGAAAGGTGCTTTTCAACAACTGACATGCTCTGCTCATATTTCAGAAAAACGAGAAATCCTTACCGGCATTGTTTTTCAATTTTTCTCGTTCTGGAAAGAGAAGAAATAAAAGCAAAATAAATCATAAAATCATACAGTAGCAAAACAATTATAAGGTATAATGAAATGGGAATAAAGTCGGTATATTGTTGGTGTAACTAAATTTGAGCAAGAGAAGAAGATTTGAAAGAGGGATGAAAACCCATGAAATCATTCAACCAAAGTCATCGTGCCAGAAAGACCAAACTACTTAAATAAGAGTAAAGATATACAATGTAATACCAAGCCTGTTTTTTTCCTGATGTATCTTTCATTGTTTCTAGCGTTTCATATTCAAGACAAAAATAATTCCGTACAAATGAAAAATAAAATCCTTACAAAAGATTTATGACGTCATCAAATTCATAATTCGCCATCAATACGCAAAATTGGATAACTGAAGTTACAGATCGCAATACATTCGACTGGAGATTTGGAAAATGCTTTTTTACTTTTGTAAAGCTGAGAATAAGAGAAAACTATCAAAAAACAAGCTTGGTATATAATTCTATGATGGTTATGAAGAACTCTTACCTTTAACCAATAACGTGACATAATATCTAAGATGGCGAACTTTCGAGCTGATCTGACACTCATACACCCCAGCATCTTTAAACTGGACCTGTTTAATCAGCAGATTCCATTGGTTCGATCTGGCAGGATGTTCTATTTGAATCCTGGCATCTTCTACAAATGTATTGGAACCCACTGTAATTAACTTGGAGCCTTTCCGCCATACGACCTAAAATGGATTATTTCAGATTTGTATGACATATTAAAAAATATCTGAATTGTGCACAAAAGGTTTTTTTTCCAAAGATTTAATTGAATTCCGTTTAGTTTCATTAGGACACGATAGCTTTAATCAATAGTAATTCCCAGTCTGATTACACAACTTGTAATTAATTATTATTAAAATAAGTACATAATCAAGGTGATTGTATTATATATTTTAAATGTAAAACAGAACAAATTGATATCAATTCCAGCGCCGTTATATCTGAGGAAAAATTTTTACCCAAAGAATTGGGGATTACAAATAAGGTTTTTTTCTAAGTATGGATAAGGTAATCAACCTATATCAAAACCTAGCCATAATTATCATTCCGATGTTCTAGGAAACAAATTATCAGACCCGAACTCCACCTCCACGCCTTGAAACGGCTCTATCTGAAAATTATCACCCACTAATGGAATGTACATTTAGAGACATTGGCTGAAGCAGTTTATACTTGTGTTAACCTTCACCAGAAAACCATGAATATCCAACTCATTTATATTACCCTTTTGTTGCGTGGGGCCATATCGGCAGATATAACAGAATAACATCTAAGACTCAAATGGTAACAGTTAAAAGAGTAACAATATCTTAAGTGAAATAACCTCCAATATGCACTGACATAAAATTCTTTAAATAGTAATACCATTAACCCTATCTTAGTGCAAATTTATACTTTTCCTCGGGTCTAGAAAAATTAACCAAATATCAAAACACGTTGAAATGTTACTGTGGAGCTGAAAAAGCAATCAAATGCCAACAGAAACGAAATTGAATAGTGAAAAAACCACTGGCAATGTTTTTTCACTCAACATTTTAGTCGATGAGATATAGTTTCTGTCAAAGCTTAATGGACCTTCTAATGCCAAAATATTGTCCATAAACATAGAAGATGTCAGAATATTTCATTAACAATGTATTATCAATGTCATCTAGTCTTGCTCCATTTACAAAACTTGATAAAACATGAAGGTACAAGTTGTTTTGCTGCTGGTGGTTTATAGTTGTAAGATAGGTATAGAGCGACGGGTTGATTAACAACGGTTCAACTCATCTGTAGGTTTATTATCATGGTTCTTTCAGATGTGATTGGTTTCTCTGCCTCTAAATTAAAGTGTCAAACTAAAGAAACGTCAAACATCGTATCAAGTTACGATATAGGTATTTCGAAATATCGGTCATAAAATATTTCCTTTTGACATTTCGGAACGCAGGTTTCAGATAATGGGCTTCGTAAATTGAGCATGTAAAATAAACAAACCTCATTACAAGCGTATTGCAGCATTAATTTTTATTTCAAAATATCATGACCGATTATTGGTTGTATTTTTTATTTAAATTGACGATTATTAATTTCTCGCCTTTGACAAGATGACATACAAGAACATGTCAAAAACGTAGACAGTCGTTTTGAAACTCAGCAGTTTTTTTTAACTGAAAAGAGTTTTTAATATGCAATTTCACAGGAGAACAAAGCACAGCAGGTGGTACACTTACATGCGGCTGTAATTTATCTATTTTCTGTAGTAAAATTGTTATTAATCATATTGCCGCTACTGATTTTAAACATTGTCGATGTTCCCAACATGATTTATTGGTTATATTTTAAACATATATAGTGTATTAATATACAAGATACAGACTGGAAAATGATTAGCTTTGATATGTTATAGTTGGCAGGTACCCGTTTTATGATTAGTAAATATATCTCTACTGTGTTTATAATTTGATAAAGTATCTGAATTTAGTATTATATCTATATTACTTTAAGTAAAATACATGCCTTGTGAACTCATTGCATCTGTTTTAAACGACAATTGTTGCTTTAAAAATTAGGTTTAGGGTATCGATTTCAGATTAGAAGTACATTAGACGAGATCTGTTGGAATTCCATATGTTGCCCATTTTCATCTTGCTTATGTCTTCGGAAAACTTTAATTTAAATTTCCAATTGTAGTTATATTATGACTTGAGCTGAGGATTTATAAAGACTGTGTTCTCATAACACTCAATGTTGAACATCCACCATCAATATTCCAGAAGTGCCAGTCAGTAAGCTATGTATTATCTATATTAATGTTTTAAGTAGGCGCTGAAAGTAATATATAATCTAGAGAAAAATGTAAATATAACACGTTTAGTTTATGTCTAGAAAAAGGAATGTATAACATCATTTATCATGGAAATTAATATGAGTTTTACGTCCTATTGCCTATCTGATATTAGACTAATTGAGACACAGCGCTATTTATCGTGTAATGAGGAAACATGCAGGACAACATCCTTAGCCTACTGTTTCAATTCATAACAACCTGTAGCAAGAATGCCCAGCTATCAACCGGTAATCTTGTCAATCTGGAAGTCATGTCCTGCTGATAAAACAGCTGCAGATTGATACTATGTATTTTCAGCCCAGAAAATAGTATTGACTGTTAGAGGTCTAAATATATTGAACTGTGTACCTAACTCTATTTAATTTTCGAATATATGCAGAATAGTATTTCTCCATCATTTAATGAACTATGATGAACAGCATGTCGATCTGCCCACAGACCTGTCAGATCACAGTCTGGTATTAACAAAACCCACAACAGATAATTAAATAAACAAGCATATTATTTAGAATATTACAGTTTACAAATTATTGTATTTTGTGGCCGTATGTCTGTTCATGGTTTGCTTCAGCGAATTTAAATGTCTTCCCATGCACAATATCAAGCTATATAGCCAAATCTTTTCTTATATCATTCCAGCAGTGCACAGATACACTGACAGTCGCATATATGTATTCTCTACCCCCATAGTATATCTCTTTCGATCTCGGAACCACTCTCCTGAATTCATTCAATCATTTATCAAGTCCAATCTTTAACCTATCTGTCATTCCAGTACTGTATAGATACGTTAATAGTAAGATCTATTGTAAACACTGGAAGTATGATTAACAAACAATGTCTAGTAATTGGCTCGACAAAATCTTTAAAATAGACCATGGACGGAACAATTTGTGTAAAGAAAGCGGCGACATAATCCTTCTATATAAATATTGTTCCGTCGTCCTGGAATAACTAGTTCATATTCATAGCTGAAATCTCTGTACATTGTGAATAGTAGATAACATTCCTTGAAAGATGAAGATGTTCTTAATCCGTTTAAACTACATATACATCTACCAAAAAAACAAACTGAAAAGATGAAGTGTCATAATGAAGATCAGTTGAAAATATATTCAAAACGCCATGACGCCTGTCCATTCTACTACTTTCAAAATTGATTTAAGTGCGAACTTTTTTCGAGGTGGGTCACAAATGTTTGTTGTTGCTCAGATGCAAGCTAATTTTCTCCTTGTGATGTCATGTTTTCCTTCTCAAAGACACGCTGTATCTGTCGACTCAACCATTTCTGGAGCAAAAGCAGGAATTACTCAATCTGTATCTATAGTAACTTGATATCGCCTTTGTCTAGAAACCTTATCTTCACGACATTTAACAAGTTTCTTATTAAAAAACGAGGTTCCATGACGGACGTGGCGTATTAATCAACAACTGAAGGAGTCCGTCTGTTCGGATATTTTTGATTAAAACACTACAACCGTTACATTTCTTGATTAAAATCTGAGACTTCATTATCATCTTGCCCAGAATTGACTCGATTTTCTACCATCTAGACTTATTTGTTTTATTGAGATAAACTTTGCTGGTTCGTTTTTGCAAAATATCCATAGTTCAAAACTGTGCTTCTTTAATTGAATATTTAGGAGAGCTCAGGTCGACATTGAGATCAACTTGTTTTATCTCAGAAAATCTGATCAATCTTTGCAGTCGACAAGAAAATTTTCTGTTGCCACCAGTAGCCCAAAGCTACCCTTGTACTTTTTTTTAACTGTGTGGTGGGAATCTTCAACTATCCAGATGGTTGCTCAAGCTTGAACTATGAGAATTTTTTTTTATCGAAGTCGATTAAATTCAACATGTTTGAGAATAAAAACTAATTAGATAGTATAAATCAATCAGTTCGATCTCTATCTTAACTATTAGTGTGGTAAGTAATGGTGTTTTTCAGTGAATTAGTTACATAATATATAAAGATATTGTACTTTGCGAATATGATCTATGAATCTTCGTCAAGTGCTCTCGAGATCTTTCCAATTCAACCAATCCACTGACATTCTAATCACCAGCTGTCCGGTACCATCCTGCAATTGAGTGTGTCAGTCTTGTGACAGACTTGTATCAGCCTTTCTTTCTGTAACGGAACTGATATCGTTCACTTTATACAATCATTCGGCAACATGAGAAATATTGTTAGCAAGTTAATTTAATCCGTGTCAACAGAATGAAATGGTAGTAACATTAAATTAAAGGATGTAGTTCCGAGACAAGAGAGACAAGTTACATTATCTTGATGGTTCATTTCAACAAATTGACTAGCAGTTACAAAGGGCCTCCATTGATTAGTGTTGGGTAATTTGTGATAGTGACTCACTCTCGATAAAAACAACCATATTTCAAGCTACAGTATCACCATGTCACAATGGAATTTCGTGCCATCATGCATCATGCATATCGGATTCCCCTGCGATTACATTAATATCATGTCATATTGCATTCGTAGATCCCTTATATTACTTAGACACACACTCCATGATATGGCCCTTGGCGACCTTTTCAATGGATTTCAGCTACTCAAGTTTCAATTTTCATAAAGCCTCCACGCGTTATTGCAATTGTGTGTGCTGTTCATAGTTCAAGACGACACATTGTTCTTGGTTTTGTGCTGTCGGTTTTTCCATTGTTACCGGTGTTGTTTTGATTCTAGTAACTGAAACTGAAGCATGAGGCCAGTTGACAACTGACTTTAATATTCAACCCCTACGAATCATTATGCTTACAGCTTAATCCAATGATTATTTCATGCATAAACCCCCCACGAATCCTTATGCTTAACGTTCCTCGAGATTCAAAGCATATGCTGCCCGTAAATCCCATATTTCATCACAATGCCATGATCACCCATTCCTTCCATGTCTTACGAAAGCAAAACTTCATAATCCACGAAAATCCGCGAATTTTCGATCTAACAGAATTATTACGTAACTGGTTAGTCATTAATATTGTATTAAACGGAGTCTGGCATTTGCATGCCAACCTGAGTATTTTTTTACACCCAGTCACCAGTAATTTCTGGTTAAATCTTTCATCTCTTCCCTATTTCACATCTTTAGCTTGTCGTCACGCCATCTACATCCGGTTCGGTTAAATCACGAAGACTTGTAAGTCATTTACTGAGAATCTCGAAAGCTCTTGAACGTTTTAAATATGTTCGTGCATAATTACAGTTTTCTATCATTTCCGCAGTAAGATGGGAAGAAGGTCAAGTTGTCTAATGTTGATATTACACACGTACTCTCTTTCTTTGTCTTTATGGCTATTACAAGATATAAGTTCTCCTATATGTAAAGGTAACGGACATTATTTTTATCAGTCGATCGGCTTTTACAACTAGGATGTCCTTCGTGGGAGCCATACTGGAAACAAATGTAATGCTTCAAATATGATACATCATTAGCAAATTCTTCAAATATGGTACATCATTAGCAAATTCCTCAGATATGGTACATCATTAGCAAATTCTTCAAATATGATACATCATTAGCAAATTCTTCAAATATGGTACATCATTAGCAAATTCTTCAGATATGGTACATCATTAGCAAATTCCTCAGATATGGTACATCATTAGCAAATTCCTCAGATATGGTACATCATTAGCAAATTCTTCAGATATGGCACATCATTAGCAAATTCTTCAGATATGGTACATCATTAGCAAATTCTTCAAATATGGTACATCATTAGCAAATTCCTCAGATATGGTACATCATTAGCAAATTCTTCAAATATGGTACATCATTAGCAAATTCCTCAGATATGGTACATCATTAGCTAATTCCTCATATATGGTACATCATTAGCTAATTCCTCAGATATGGCACATCATTAGCAAATTCTTCATATATGGTACATCATTAGCAAATTCTTCATATATGGTACATCATTAGCTAATTCCTCAGATATGGCACATCATTAGCAAATTCTTCATATATGGTACATCATTAGCTAATTCCTCAGATATGGCACATCATTAGCTAATTCTTCAAATATGGTACATCATTAGCCAATTCTTCAAATATGGTACCATACATGTACATTTATCCTTTTCAAATACAGTGCCAAATACTTAATAATGCATAGCATGAATCTATATTTGCGTTAGTTCGCTTGCTCTTCACTGAGACAATTCGTTCAGTTGTTTTTTGTATCAGCTGGGTTGACTTCTTTTCTATTTGGATTGTGTTGATATCTCCATCGTCAACCAAATGGTCATCATCAAACCAGAATTTGAAATTTATATTTTACTTCTAAGGTTTCAGAGCTGTTGATTCAGTAAATGGATTTAGATAAAACAGGTTTCTTTAACAAAGATTTTAAACCTCAATCTATTGTTTTTCTTTATACCAAGAAAACATAAAAGCTTTTAGAAAGGCTGAAGTAGATATTCTGTTGGAGGAAACGCAGCCATATCCTGTCAATTGCGTTTTCTCTTTCACAATCTTGAAGGTTTTAACCACCAATTGAGAAATTTGAATTATTTCAACGAAGACTTGAACAGATTGCATCAAACTCATTGCAAAGCGAACATTGAAACGGAAGATCCTCGTGATTCTAATTAGGTTCCAACCAACATTCTAGATATTGACAATCATAGAACGAATATTGAAAAGATAATGTTCGATGCATAAACGTGCATTAACACTTGGAGGAGTATACATTTATACCGTTACTTCATAGTATGGTCACTAATGAGTAATTCAGGGATCAGAGATTACTAGTTATCGAGGAAAAACAAGGTGAACGTCACCAAGCAATGGACTTTATTGAAAGGACAAACCAAATACGAAAGTGAAGTCCAGATTGACAATAGCCTAGATAACATCACAATATTCAGATGATTTTTGTTTCAGCAGAGATATTACTATTCGTTTTTTCCGCGATGTCCACACCCAGATGTAAGTACTGAAATACTCCCGTATTATTAAATTGTATACTTCGGAAACACTTTTAAAGATGGTAGCAATCCAGAAAATATTGGAATTGTTTAAAATCACGGTTTAAAAGACATTTTTATATTTCGTGATATTTGGTCATATAACCAGATTTCGATTGCCCATACTGATCATCAGACATTGATTATTTTATAATTATTTAAAACATTAAATTATGATGAAAATGACTGAAATAAGATACTCTGTCTGGCCACGTAGAGGATATAAGAAAGGTCAGCCGCTCTCAGACGACTGGCGTCATAAACCCTTCCAAATCTGACAAGGTAGAAATTATAGTAGACCTAAATAACTCTTTTATGGTTCAAATGAATTTCTTAATTTGTCTTCGGATATTTTTCAGTTTGAGGAACATGTAGTAAAATTTTGAATCTGTCTTCTGTATTACTACCAACTAAGACTATTGGCTTCATACCACGAAAACAAGATTAACATTTCTACTGTTTATATTTTGTATAGTGTATATTGCTTTAAATAAGTTTGATTGTATGGGAAGAGATTGCATTCTTAGGAGTGGTTTTATATAAATTACGTCGGTGGCATTCTTCTGCAATAGAAACATTCTACAAGTTTATATTCATGAATGCTGGTTTCTTGGGTATCTTATCGCATACAAAATACTGTGATAGTCTTACCGACGATCTTTTGTGCTTTCCAAACTTGATAAACATATACATAGAGATCGTTTCAATATTTTCGGTGGCAGTCTTCAGCCACCTTTTATTCAGATTCGATACAGACTTGATTTTGTCACGGTCACAGATTATTGGTTAAGATCTATGATTAAGACTGACAATATCTTGTGTTTCAACCTACGGCAATACAGTCATATCGTTCTCGATTTCTACATCCAGTTAGCAAGTTCGTGGATTTGCCTTCAATAAATTCAATTTCTCTCAGGAAATGGCTGAAGTTTTTCTGTTTTCTCAAGCAATCTTGTGAGTTTGAATTGATACCATAACCTCGTAGTTTGCGTTTTTACATTAATTCTATTCCAGTTCTTTTCTAATTTCATTTGAAAATTGAACTATCTGGTTACTGTGTTTAACGTGTAAACCTCCCAATGTTATTAAGTCATTCCATTTATTAGCCTTTCCATTTAATTCAGGAAACCTAAAGCTCTCGCATGTAACATTCACTCTCTTTTAACTAATTTACGAGTTAGTCCGGCGATCAGCTGTTTCATTGACCTTATGGTGGGATTGATGCTTCATACATTGCGCAGCAGGCGATTATGAGTCAACCACGACGATCCAACAATCAAAACGTTCAAATATGCTGAATAATTTGTCGTGTATAAAACACTGTTTTTGGGGCTTTTTTCTTGCTAATTACAAGATCTGTTATTGCACTGAACATCTTGACATGATGTTCAAAATTGATGTATTAATTAAGCTATTTTTCTTTTAGTGTGCTAATTGTATTAATATGTTGTTAAACATTACCAATTAATGACATTTAACCGCACTTTCATTAGCATTTTCGATTAAATTTCAAACAGCAGGACAATTCAACCTCGTGTTTGTCTGCAATTGAATCGAAATGATCGGCTAAGGTGGCATCATTCCTTGCCAAAATACAACTATGGCTGTAATACTGATTGTGCGATTCAATGATGATTCTTAACCCCTATGGACTTGTATCTGAATACACGGAAAGTTAATTAAAATATACATATGTTTCCAGTTAATTACAAGTGTTAATCAATTGCTAATGGAATTATTGAGATGTGTGTGGAACTACGTTAGGTTCATCTAAACTAAGAGTAAACCATGATATTATATTCCAATTCCCATGCGCAATACAACAACAAATTTAATCTGAACAATACTTTCTCAAGTTCAAATTATTTTCTTTTCTGATTTGCCAACACAGTCAACGGCAAAAACAAATTGGATATGTTCTCTAGTTCAAAATATTTTCTTTTCCAAGTCCATATTAAAATAAAATGAAAATTCACATGATACGTTTTCGAGTTCAAATTAGAACATTCACAAAAACATTTACAAATTTATATTCATAACTTGTCGCAAACGGAATATTTTCTTGCCGATGATCTTTTGTACTTTCCAAACTTTATCAACGTTTTTGTTATTGTCTCTCGTACCTTGATGCGTACTCGACTACTCTTCTATCGAGTAAAACTTTACAGATATCGACACCTCACCAGGTTTAATCTTCGGTGAGGTGGTTTGTTTAAAAAATTTACGGAACATTGATGGTAAATATACATATATGTATTTTAAAATTCCGAAAGTACGACAATGAGTGAGAAAATGTATGGCTACTGAGCGGAATTTCGGGAAAATCAAACTGGGAAAAATTTATGACTCAAAAAACCCCTCTCCAAATTATCCAAGCCTGTCCCAGAATAAAAAGGATGTCTCAGTATTAAAAAATCAGGCGTAGTTTAGGAAACGTTGTACCCAAATATAGTATGGAATAAATCAGTTCCGACAGCATGTACTTAAAATGGAATAATATATTTGAATGTTAGTCTGGGTCATGAACCAGGGGAATTTTTCAAACAGTAACACCGTCGTATCTTACAATAACATGTGACATTCTCTCTCTTATTGACAGAGTGGTGAAGTTGGACATAGCCTTTCATTGTGCAACGAGGGAAATTCAAGTACAACTAAAACACAATTTGTAGAAAAATGATTGGGGGTTTCAGTTTATCCAATCCGAATGAATAGACATTTTGTCTTACCTGTCAGTGAGAAACCAGGTTGTACAATATTGAACTATGCTGAGCGTCAAGCCTATCCCTAAGAAAGCGCTTGAATTGCAAAACCACCAGTAATAATGAACCGCTTACCTTTTTATCACCAAGGTTATCTACAACACATTCTAAAACTGCCAGTTCCCCGACGAAATAAGTATAGTTATTTCTGGTTGGTTTAAACCGTGGTATTGGTCCGTCATCATAGTCATCATAGCCCGAATATCCAGCCGCTGAAAATATAAAATGATTCAAATTAGACATGCTGCATTGTTACATATTGAAATCAGCGGTTAAAACAAAATTTGGATGAGTAATCATATATAAAGTACATAGTAACATTTCCCTATGCTAGGGTATTTCGGTCATTCAGGGTTTCTTTTCTGATTTGAAAGAAATCGAACAATATAGAGGGGAATATGAAAAAAAGCATTCTGACCCTCCGAATATATGTTAAAATCTATAAGCTCGTTTGTACGCAAAATGGAACTGCGTGCCGTTTATTGTTTAACAAGAGAACTGAATTAAATATAACTTATTATGCACATAACTTGGTTGGTTAAAATCCTTAGTACTGGTTTCAAACATTTTTCCGTTCTGACGGATCTGACTCATACTACATTTGCAAGTAAATTTTTAAATTACGGCAATGTTTACGTCAAGGGGAGATAATTTACGCCCTTGGTTATCAGTCTTTTTGACACATCAAGTTCATTATAATTGTTTAAAATTGAACATCATAAACTTAGTATACACTTATAACACTTGGGTTTAACTTTGTTTATTGTTTATCGTTAGTAAGTGTCGAGGGCGAGCTCTTGTTATTATAACCCGTCAGAGTACTGTTGGCAGGTCAAATCCATCATTAAATATTGTTAAAAACTCTCTTAACACTTGGACCAGTTTATTTGACTTCTATCTGTTATTCTGAAAGTTTATTTAGGGCTGGGTTAAAGAAGTTTCTATGTTCTATCCGCTTGATTCATGGATTTTCCAAGATGAAAGCTCAGATGTTTATTTCAATTAGAACCACTGGCAGATGAAAGACGGTATTAAGGTATTAGAAGTAAACTCTCTTCTGAGTCTAGATTTATCGTTATCAGATGATAAGTGCAATAGTGATTGAAGTACAGATTCAGTGTATTTCCTGTACTTGACATCTTTCGAGTCTGCAATATACCTGTTAGCCTCTATAGCGATCAACAGGTCCGTACGGTTATGAATAAGAACAGCGGTCATAGGTCTGATGCAATTGAGTTGCGTTCAATACTTGTTTCGGATATCAAATCCCCATCAGGACAGCTTTGAAATTGTATATAAACCCTCAGACATTTAGATTTGCGTATAAGTAATGAAGTGAGCTCACCGACCAGGAATAAGAAATCAGAGTTAAATCAATCAATATGATTGTGAATGTAAAAGATGTTTTTTGTAGCAATATTGACTTTCAAGTTTATGCTGACAAGGAATAAGTTTAAATCTATAAATCAGCACAATTGACTTTACAAAATATCTCATTGATTATAGATGCTGGTATACGTTGATGAGACGAGCGTTTATTGCATCCTGGTATAATAGATCATTCTAGCCCTGATCAAAGTCGTGTTTATAATTCATTTAGCTTCATATCAGATTCAATTTTGCTCCAATCTACAAAATTCATCATAATAAAAACTGAATTTATATTAATGTGCTTGTATTATATAGTATTAGGAGGTAGTGCCTGAAAGACAGGCTTAAAATTTGTCAAATCTACGACAATTCATCAAAATATAAACTGAATTTATTTCAATAACTGGTAATATACAATATTAGGTGGTAGTGCCTAAGAGACGACACAAGACCACCTTCAAAATGCATACTGGACATGACATTACGTTTTCATCTTATACCATTACTGCCATGGCCCATTTTTTTGTTTCAAGGAAGTTTGTGAATGTGACAATTAGATTGGATTGTATGCTAGAGCGAATACAGTCAATCTAAACTCTTCACAGAAAGACTAAAAAAGTATTACTCATGAAATCGAGGGCTGTGATTAGCTGTATTTGCTGGCGTATAATCCAATCAAATGACCTAGAAACACGAAAGTGGCCATTGCAGTCAAGGTAAAAGATGGAAACGTAATTCATCATTTAATCATGTTATGTTACACTATACGATTGAGGGTGGTAGAAGAGGAGAAAGACGGCGACAGAAGAATTTCTAAAGCATTAGTTGTGGCATTGTGCGATTGTCTTAAAATGAACAACTCTCCTAATCGCCTTGTGAACAGCTCAGATCTACAAAATGTATCCTGTATTTATTATCAATGTATGTGGTATTGGTAGCAATGTATTCGTCTCAGTAGCTGAGAGACGAATCAGACGACGTCAAACGGGTTCTAGAAAGATGTTCTGTTCTGGACTGTGGCAGCAATTAGATTTCTATGTCATAACTTTTTGACCCAACACACATCATTGTGCCAAAATTATTTGATTGCAGTGATCTCAAACACGCAAAACATAATGTCATGCATTAGATTTACTCGTTTGTAGCACAACGTCGATGTAATTTGACCTTAGCAATAACAACCTTGGCTTTTATTCCGTTTTGTTTTAATTTCATAACCATTGCTTTTTCATTAATCCTAAATAGAATTATCATTATCACGACATTTCATTACAATCATATGTAAATCAGTTCATTTTAAAAGCAATTTATGTAGATATTAACGGTGATCTGTAATAATTGAAAATGTCGTATGGTTAAAATGGTGCAGTGGGAATAGTGAAATACGTGATAAGAATATAAACTATTGAGTTAAATTGCCGATTTCAAATTTGACATGTCAGCACTTTTTTTTTGTCTTTGAGAGACATACTATTTAACAAAGATTGGAATTGTTTGATCATATATCTGTAAGAGGGGGTGGTAAATTCAATATAGGATAATGATTAATCAGCGTAATGGAAACGCTAAACATTATACGAATGTGACATTATGTAACTGCAACAAAAGGCGAATGGGAATGCTACGAAACGGAAATGCGGCATTATGAAAACCATAATGATAATGCAACATAATGGGAATATGAATGCAACATAATGAGTATAGATATTTAACATATTGAGAATAGGAATGCAACATAATGCGAATAGGAATACAACATAATAGAAATATGACGCAATTGAAATTGAGATTAATGAGAAAAGGAAAAGAGGCGTATTGAAAAATAAATGCATCATAATGCAATGAGAATAGGACATAATGCGACGCAATGGAAATTAGGAATATACAATAATGAAAACAGAGGATTGCGGCACAATGAAAGTGCAGCGCAATGGAAATGCGACGTAATGGGAACATTGCCATTCTAAATCAATGATGCTATGCACTATGCACTGACATCAACCAGACTGAGGAAAAACATTTCTAAATTCCAGTGAATTTTCCAGAGAAGTTTAAATCAAAAAGACCAACGACTTCGGGAGATTTGCCGACAAGTCTTGAAGAGTCCCATAAATTGAAATCTTAAAACATGGTAAATATCAAAAGGATACAAGTGCAATCCATTTCAAGTTTCAAATTTCATTCTTTATGTTCAATCTTAATAAGTTACAATCTAACGAGTTTCAGGCAAGTTAAATGATATATATTATATCCAGTAAAAAGTGTCGAACTTCTCTAAAACAACAGCGTGTATAAACAAAATTAACAGGAATAAATTGAGAAATGTTCTCTAGAATAACAGAATAACAGGAAACCGTGGTTCTTTTTAAAACAAGGCGGGGGCAGATAATTTTACCGTAAGTAAACAATATTCCATTGAAAAAGAATTGACACAAGTAGACTGATTAAAAGACATTTTGTAATACCTTCAGGGGTAATTTACACCTGATGGTACTTCTCTTTGAAGGAGTCCACTAATATACAACTTTTACTCTTGATTTTGCCCTTCTTTGAATGAGATTTTTGATTAACGGAATTGTCATCCTTGTACGGATTTCCACGGTACTCGCCATACTATGCAATATCATTTATCTTGGCTATTTTGGAAGTATATATCAATCAATACAGGAACGATTCCATTTATATTAACAGAAACTTTGTTAGCCTATTGTTTTAGTTTTAAGAGAATGTGCAGCCGACAATTTTACGCGACTTTTGCGGGCAACGTTTGTATCACACCTTTGCACACAGACAACTTAACGACGTCTGCCGACAGGATTCTTGTATCCACCCGGCTTTTCCTGTTGAATTCCGGGTAGATAATATATTTATTTGTTTTGCCTCATTTGTGGAAGCATTTCGTTCGTCAGACGTATGATCTTACAGCTACAAGTTCATAGATATAAATTAGCAAGGGTATAAGAAAAAGAGGTCGTTTCTTTTCGCCTCATTTAACGGAATCTAATGATGCAATGCAATATGTATCAGACAACGTGTTGTGAGTAGGTGATAGACGCCCATTAATGTCTTAAGAGGATTCGAACCAAGGTACATGTCGACATAGACCAAAACATCTGCCTCTATTCCAGCCTCTGATAACTATTTTGAAAATTGTTGGCTAGTGAAGCTGGAATAGAGGCAGGTGTCTCGGACTACTGTGGACGATGTGCTTCCAGTGTCACATACAAACTTTCAATGTTGATTGATAAGTAATGACTGTCGAATATTCCTTAACATCTACGAGAGCAGTAAACAGGTTGACTGCAAAAAGTGGCCATAACAAATTAAATCTTTCACCAACTGCAATTTTGCATGTAAAAAAAGCACGTGACCAAATTTCCTGCGTGATAATCCGGCATGTAAGCATCAATTGATGTTATAATTGGAACTATTACTGTGAATAAATGTCGAATTGTCGTGCTACGAGTTATTTTCAATCATCCAAAATGACATTTAAATGGATTTCAAATAGCCTTTATAATGGGCGATTAAGTCCAATTGAAATTTTTCAATGAAATAAAGAGATGACAAAATGGTCTATCTACATATGTATTGTGGGTTTTTTATTCTATTTTTCTCTACTCCAGTAACATACATTCTCTGACTTCTGTATTTTCAAACATGTCTGTTCCGAATCAGTTAAACCAGGCTATATTCAGCTTCAATCGTGCTTTTAAAAAGTGATTTAGACTGGTTTAATCCACATCGCTAGTTATGTCCACGTCGTTAAAGCTATCATTCTCTAATTAGGCTAAAAATAATTATTAAAAAAATAGTCTGACTGCTTTTATATTGGTTGGGTGGCGGTCATATTTAATCAACAAGCGACTGCT